AAGCCAAATTCCTCAAAACTTCTCAATGAAGTTTGCAACTAGTGGTCTACTCCTGCAACAAACACTTACTTTTACTTCTGTTAAACCCTGGACATAACAGCAGGTCTTTGCATCATTCAGCAGAACCTAAACTTTTTTGTACCTGCAGTAAGGCCCTGCTTCAAAACACTTAACAAGATTATAAATTCTAGAGAGCAGCAGAAACTTAGAAACTTCCCCCTCTATCCCAGAAGACCTAATGCAAAATTTCATCTGTCCTTATCAATGGGAGCTAGGAGTGATTTAACTGGGCCCTCCAAAGCCTGCTAAGGACCTGAAACTCTCTGAGGCTTTAACAGAACGCAGGGATGTAAAAACCTGCCTCTGCTACAGACAGAACAAACTACTACACTATGTCTGCTTTGTAACAGGTCCCCTGAAACAGTTCATCTTTCGCCTGTACAGCTTTAAAAACAGCAGGCAATAGGCCATTTTTTTCCCCCCAAAAGCACAAAAATCTCAAATGTGCCCTCTTATTCTTTCCCTCCCCCATCCTCTCCCTCTCATGCACACATACCCCCTGAAAAATCTTTGCAAAACTTCACTTTCCCAAAGTAAAAGTATTTACAATGAGGTCATACCTGGAACATATACCACTGGCTGTTCTTCATCAGAAACTGCGTGCAATTTCATTAAAGGAAATAAGTCACACAGAAAAGGCCCAAGATCAGATGTACAAAGAGAGAAGGAAACATAATTAAACCAGTGATTTTCAAGATTGTTCACTTGATGTCATTCTTGGTTCTCTACCACTTGCAAATGATCAAACAGAAACTTCACCAGAAGAAGCCATGCTAAGTATGATAAAGCTGTGTTATCAACCTCCCCACTGTGTATTAGCTTTTATCTAAGTAAAGATTATTTTAGCAGCCATCTTTGCGAAAAATCCAGGAGACCTGCCCCAGTTAAGTTAAACTATTAAGGTAACAAAGTGAAAAAGTTTATATGAATTAAAGAAAGTTAATTTTAAACAAGGAACTCTGCAGCACTATCAAAGGAGACAATTTGGGGGACACGTATAAGCTCACACTAACACTGCAGTAGTCACTCACTTGTGTACACAAGAAGTCTGAGCTAAGAGTAAAGAGCAAGATTTAAAGGAAGTGGCTCACCCTCAGCTGATCGTTAATCATGTGACAGATAACAGCTGAAGGTCTGGGGAATTTTCAAGTACTTGTTTTGAGGTAGCTGTGAAGAGAGGTATCTTTCAAATAACTCAGGGCCATAATTATTAATCTGGTTTACTCCCTCCAGGACATAATGAGCAGCATGTCATTTGTGTTACAGTACTACCTGCAGGGTTCAAATCCCTGCCCCACCAAAGTTACTGGCTAAAACTAGGGGTCAGTACAATGAAGAGCAGAATGCAGAGGTAAGCCCGCAGAACCTCTTCCTTGAAGTGGCAACATCAGCTAAGCAAAAATAAACATATTTGTCTGCAGCATAATCTAGATGCCCAAAGACTGCAGGAAAGAACTGTAAATCCCAGCATTCCTCATTGCTATGCTGTTATTTATGCTGCTTATTTTTGGCAGATCTCACATTTGGACAATAAAACTCAATTGCACGAGTTTGCCAACTGCGTATAACCAAGGTCATTTTCAGATGTAATGCCACAGGATTTGGGTTTCAAATATTCCCTTCCACTGTTCGGGTACCTACACACAAGCAGCGAGGCTGCTCTGACATGCTGTAACTACAACGCATCAGAGGAGCACATTCGATTAATCAAGCCTGCTGGAGCATGGTAACTACCGCACTCCGGCATCTCCTGCATCAGCATCCCCGCATTTAAAAATGTTCAGTGAGCTTTAGTTAAAGCACCCCTGCTGCCATTTTTAAGCACAGGGACGCTGATGCACGAGACTCTGCGGAAGTTTTAATCAGCTAATTAAAGCCCTCCCCCGCCCACTCCCGGAGCACGCGTATAAACGCACTCCGAGGACAAATCTTCTCTTGAATTAAGAACAGAAAACTGTACGAAAGCAGTCTGCTTGGTCTACGGAAATATTAAAAATTGTAACCTTTTCAGACGCAACATAAGCATGACCACGTCCTGTTCAACGCTTCCTTTCCCACGGTCCCGCAAGGCTCAGGGGGGCAAGTCATTAGGACAGAAACTTTTGCTTCTAAACGCCAAAGTACAAATCCCACCGGTTTCAACAGCAATCCCCAATGGTCATCACCACCCCGAGGGCTGTTTAACTCAGGGGGGAAAAAGACCAAAGTATGAGTCTGGGAAGTCACGCAACCGCCGCGTACTTTACACCCAGCCTCAAAGGAGGACGGGCACATCGCATCCAAAAAGCTTGTCTGACATTTCTCCCAGCTGGTCAGGTAAAAGATGTCACCCAAAACCACTGCTCATCGCTGCTACAGATGTCGGCAGAGAGGCAGCTCTGATGGGGACGCAGGGGAAACTGCACGTCTACCCGGCTGCACGGCTAACCTGGGCGTCTAATCGCACACGGGCCCAGGCAGGCCCACGGGCCCACCCACAGACAGTCCACAGGCCCATGCAGGCCCACCCACAGACAGACCCACAGGCGCACACACAGGCAGACCGTGTGTCTGCCCGTGGGAGGGTGCGTATGTGTGTGGGTCGGCTGGACAGACCCCCCACGGCCCCAGGCAGGATACGTCCCGCGCTCCAGTAGAGACCCCGACCCGGCCCGGCCGCCTCCGCCATCTTGAAACAACCGCCAGTCGCCGCGCGCCCATTGGCTGCCGCTCGCCGCGCGCACCCATTGGCTGCCTCCAGCTCGGAAGAGCGGCGCCTGCTGGGAGCGGGAGTTCGCCCCGCTCTGGGACTACCGCTCCCAGGAGGCGCTGCGGCCTCTCCCCGCCCTTCCTCCCTCCCTTTAGTTGAGGTGGGCGGGCGGAGCGGGAACTACGACTCCCAGCGGGCCCCGCGGGCCGAGCCCGGGGACGGAGCGCGAGGGGGGACATATTCCTCGCCCGCGCTGCGGAGGATGGAAGACAAGGCCTGTGGCAGCATCGCGCCGCAGCTGGACAAGCTCACGCTGGGCGTCACCCGCGTCCTGGGTGAGTTGGCGGGGGCGCTCCGTTGGCATGGCAACAGCCCTGGGGCCTGGGTACACCAGTAGCCCTGCGGCGTCGGCATGGCAACAAGCCCGGGGCGTCGGCTTGGCAACAACCCTGGAACCTTAGTACACCAGTAGCCCTGGGGTGTCGGCATGGCAACAACCCTGGGGTCTTGATACATCAGTAGCCCTGTGGCATTGGCATGGCAACAGCCCCGGGGCGTCGGCTTAGCAACCACCATGGGGCCTTGGTACACCAGTAGCCCTATGGCATCGGCATGGCAACAGCTGCCACACCCCTGGCCAGCCCCCCTCATCTTGCAGGACAACCCAGAGGTCTGGGCTCCATAGCAACCAGGAGGTGCTGGTTGCCATGGCGCTGCATGGTGCTCCAGGGAGCTGGCAGGAGCATCCCCATGTCCTGCCTCTCTCCTCCTACCCCATCCCCTCCTCCAGGCCCCGGTGACAGAGCAGCACCCCGTCTTTGCGACTGCAGAGAAAAACATGCCCTACATACACCCCCACGCGGCAGCGCGCAACCGTGTCCGACTTGAGGTCTGCCTTGGAAAACACCAGCTCTTCGTTTTCACCCCATTTGTTGACTGTAGAAAAAGTTATATGGATTTATATAGCTGTATATCTATAGATCTATACATTATATCTATCTATAGATATATATCTATTTATATAGAGAGAGAGAGATCTATAGATTGAGTTGAGGTTTTGTATCAGGTCTGCAGTATCAGACTCTTGTTCTTAAGTTTCGGAGGGTGGCAAACCGCCGTGTCCTTGATGGCTTGTAAAGCTGTACAATTAGTGCTGTATGGGGCTAAATTATTTCGAGAGATATAGTTAGCTATGTTAATCTGAAGTCAAGTTAAGCTTCAGCTCATGTAAACTGTGCGATAGACACATACATAGATACGTGTGTGCATACTTTGGTTAGTCTGTAAGGTACAAATCTACCCTGCCTCCCATCTACATTATGTTGGGCAAAGTTAGCATCCCAGCTCCCAAGACTCAGAAACTTCTCTACATTTTAAAGCCAAAAGAGACTCTTGTCATCTAGTCTTGCTGTTTATAGACCAAAGAATTTCACCCCGTCACCTGTGTGCAGGTTTTCACCTGGATGCTGGTATAACCGGCTGTACATCTACCGATTAGACCCAGACCCTTGAAGTGAAATCCTGGCCTTAGTAGTCGGTGGCAAAACTCACATTTCCTTCAATGTGACCAGGTTTTAAACTCTGGTTCTGTTCTCAGTTGTACTATATGGAGTCACTTGGTGATTCCAGACAAGTACATTTGTCTGGGCCCTAGTTTTTCTATGAACAGAATTGGGATAGCAGCATATCCCTACTCTGCAAAGGCATTAAGAGGATTAATCTAATAACTGAACAGCATGTAAAATGCTTATTTAGATATAAAGTTTTGATACATACTAAACTATTCACCTCTAAAATGTTGTATGGTTCCAATACCTGTACAACTTTGTAAACTCAGGGAATGTATTTTCCCATATTTTTTGTCCCTTTGTACTTTGGTGTAGTATTTTTTGTAACATGCAGTATAGTACTACTTGCCATGTTTTAACGTGGTTCCTTTCCATATTCCCAAACCTAGGAATTTCACAAATCTCTGCCAGATAAATCAGTCGAGGCAGATGGCAGGCTAATAGAGTGTATTCCACTTACAGGCATACCATCTAAGTACGTAATTTGCTTAATTGCATAACACAATGCCAGTCCTATTTGGTTACCTATTTGCTAACAAACATCAGTGATTTGCATACTGGTTAACTGCATAAACCACTTAAGTGCATGACATCCTTCTGCACTGCTGCGTACTGTGTAACTTAATCATACACCAGTTAACTGCTTGCTGAGTGTGTCTATGACTGCTTTGTAGGTGATTGTACTCCCTTTAACCACACCACAAACAGGTAGGTGGAAGCTGTCCTCAAAGTGCTACTACAGAAGCCTTGAACATGACGGGCACTAGCGCGTTTAAGGGCAGCTGATAGCACAGCACTGACAGAGCTGTCATTGTTGCCCATTAAGCCACAGAACAGTTAATTCTGGGTGCCCCAAAGCTGACTAGCTCCCCTCCAGGCTCTAACAGCAACTCCAAAAGTGACTAGGAAAAGCCTTGCAAATGAAGAGAATTTACCAGTTTTGGACAGGGTGAATAAAAATCAACTATTTAAAAAAAATCAAAAAAATTGATTTTTTTATTTAAATCAGATTTTTTGTTAAAATGCGTTTTTTTTAAAAAACAACTATATAAAGATAGTTTTAATTTAAGATATGTTAAAGCTCGAAGATATCATCCTGGAATAGGGATTATAACTTCTAATTATACACTGTTTGAGATAATATATTCATATAACCTTTTTAGAAAAGTTTTATAACTAGGTCACAACAGGCCATGGACTACATTAGGGGCCCAATTTTATGGGGCTTCCAGAGGCTCCTCTATAGCAGTGGTCTCCAAACTTTTTTGTTCACGCACCCCTATCAGTAAAAAAATTTTGAGCACACCCCCCCATATATGTGTATTTATTTATTTGACATATGGACCAAGTGAGGGCGCCACTGTCAATCCGTATGTTAAATATTAGTAAAACTTAATTTCTTTCTTATTTTTTTAGATAAAAAATAAATATAAATAGGAGTTTTAATATTTTCTTCCCGCACCCCAATGGATCATCT